AAAATCCTTCTCTATTTTTTGCCCAGGTCTCATTATAAATCTGGCTAAAGCACCAGCAATATCCAGGCCACAGTCTGAATGTTGTGCTGTCTTGAAATTTCTTCCACTAGACTAATTAGTGTGACATCTTTAAATTCAGCCTCCCACAAAGGTTCAAGGCATGAACAAAATTTAGAAAAATTATTTGCCAGAAGGTAACGTGAACTGCATCTAGCCTAATTCCAAGTATAGCACTTGTTCCCATGTGAAACCTCACAGGCAGTCTTTACTGTCCACATACCTATCAGCATTTGGGTCTTCTGGGCTCTTATCGGAATGGTGCATTAAGCTCCACTTGTGGCATTCTAGGGCTTGTCCTGTCCCACATCTCCAAATCTTTCTAAACTCTACCAGTTCCAAAGGTTTCTAAACCACACTGTCATGTATAGTCAAAGCTACCCCACACCTGGCATTAGCTGTTAGCTTTTTGTCCTTGTGACAAAACACTTAACCATAACAAAATGAAGGAGGAATGGTTTACTTTAGCTTATGGTTTTAGGGGTTTCAGTCCATGGTTAGCAGGTTCCATTGCTTTTGGCCAGAAGCAAAACATCATAGTAGAGGGTATGGTAGACCAAAGCTGCTCACTGCATGGAAACCAGAAAGCACAGAGCATGACAGAGCAGACAATAAAGGAATAGTGTCAAGATATGGCCCCTAAGGACACATTTCCATCACCTACTCCTTTCAACTAGACTTCATCTCCTAAGAGCCCATTCAGCTACAAACTCAACAGTGGTTTAATCTATTGATGAGATTTATGCATTCATGATCCAATTACTTCCCAAAAGTTTCTCAGCTGGACTTTAGGCAATATTTTAGATTTAAACCATGTATGTACATAAAATCAATCCTTTCACAGGATTTTTAGAACTGGAATTAAATGAAGGGTAATTTTGTGCTCTCTTATAATAGAAGCACTGGCTATGGAGCTTTACAGTTATGAGTCATGTGAAAAAGCCAGGAAGAATCAAAGTAGAAAAATAGAATCCAGGTATGTGGTATTTTAGGATTCTTTCAGCAAATTCAACTCTTGGTCTACACTTGTTTTATTTGGGTTATCATTTGAGACTAAAAATGTCCTAACATGGAGTTGGGAGAAGGAAATGTCTTCTGGAAATGCAAGTGTCTACTGTCCTGAAGTTCTAGATTATTATCCTCACATTTAAGACCTGGGAGAGAGGATAGAGGGCCACTAAACCATGCCAAAGGTGTGTTTCCAACATGGAGAGACAAGACACTAGAAAACTAAGACTGACAAAATTGGGAAAAGCTCAACTTACCTAAAATACGAAAACATAACAAAGAAACAAAGAGAAAACAGGCAAGAAAGACTGTGGACTAAAATTGTTCAACAGTGTTAAAAAGACATGGGGACAAAAAGTGTTACCTAGCTAATATTCTTTTTCTTTTTTAAGATAAGTCTCACTGTGCTGCCCAAGTAACCTTCCCACTTCAGCCTCCCAAGCAGTGGGACTACAGGTGCACACACCACACCAGGCTAAAGCTGGTGAAAGTTCTTTGAAAAGTGAGCAGCCCCTGAGCTGAGTGGAGATTAAAAACAAGACAAGCAGAGTCCTGCTCAGCAAAGAACCAATCACTGACCTTTCCTAGACAGGTGGCACTATGTGGTTTGCTGTCTATGATCTTTTTCAATGACCACTAAGTAAGTAAACTACATTGCTCATGAGCTGTCACTAAAACTCTAGTACAGCCAGAGCTGGCACTCCCACCTTCACAAGAAGAAAAACTGAATGTAGATCATTCCTGTGTTGTCAACCACAGGACAGGTTGCACATCGGACAAATGTGAAAGTCCTTTGAAGTCACTGAGACAACAAACACTGATGAGACAAGAACGACAGAACTACCTGCCCATGTTTGGAATAAATATACTTTTAACTACTAGTTTCTAGGTTATGCCTTCATTTGTATCAATCCCATCATTCTATGGTCCACACAGTTAAATTAGACAAAATATTTTATAGCACTCTTCCAAAACAGTAAAATTCTTGCAACAAAAGTTTTAAAGAAAAAAGGCTGGTTACCACCTGGCTGCAGTGTCCACAGACTGAAAGACTTTCCTGGTTTAGCAGCAGGTACAGGAGTACAGAGAGCAGGCAGTAGCAGAATGACAGTGTTGGACACGACTCTGTGCTAAATGCCCTTGGGTCTGAGATGTAACAGTGAAGTAATGAGGCTGACACTATACAGCAAAAATGGACGATGATCTCATCATTCCATAGCTCTATCTGGTGGTACATTTACAAGATATTTCTTCCACAAGTTACAACATTATCTGCTACAGTGGGATTCTGGTAAAATCAACTTCTATGTTCATGCAACATTTGTTGGAAAGATTCCAGAAACACATGAGTCAAAATTTCAAATGATGACTCCCATAGTAACTGTAACTCTGCTCTACGACATACATAATGGAAGAAACGCTATCAACATACACTGGTGAAGAAAATACCCAGTAAGCAGAAACAACCTGAGTTATGCTTGCTGTGGGAGTCATCACTTCCAACTAGCTAAGAATACGTAAGAATTGAAACCATAAATGCATGCATTATTTTTTTCACTTAATTCCAGTTTTTCTCATCCAATTCAATCAGTTTTGCATCTAAACTCCATTTTCCTTTCATAAACTGCAAACACCTGTCTTTTGTAATTTTGAAGTCCACATCATTTAGTTTCTTTCTTTCACCCGGGCTGCCTTTGCAGAAGGCATCATTATACCCTGGTCCTCCCTGTCAGAAGTGTCTACTGGGATCCACTTATTTATGTCCCTTTTCTCCCCCAAGGACCCTAGCAGGAGGAGAAAAAGAACACCGACAGAACAAGAATCACACTGAATGGTTTAAAAAGATAAGTAAGTGCAAAGAAGAGCAACACCGTCACCATTAACTACCCTGCCCTTGGTGTTTTCTTAGGCAGAAATAAGAACAATGTCACCATGTACTTACAATTCCCAAAATGTTTAGTTATAACATTATCTCATTTCATTCTCACCCTAGCACTGTGAGAAAAAAATAAAAAAGAAAATACCTTTTCATTGTTTAGCCACTTGTGACTCAAGTCAAATATATTTAAGAACGTGCTTTGGGATTATCATTGAAATTCTGGGCTACTTAATTGTACTTAAAGATTTTCTAAATATATTCATTTATACATGGAGAAGATTTACTTATTTTTAAAGGCAGAATATACTTTCTGCAAAAAAGATTATGGTTATGAGCTAAACTTTGACATGTTTTGAGCTTTTTGCTTTAAGTATATTCTGAAAATTCAATAGTGAAAGAGGAAAAAATAATTGCCTTTTGCAACTCTGCCTAGGCAAAATTAATCCTGTATATTATATCCGGTATTGCTTTTCCCAGTTTGGTTTTAACCAAGAAGGGCACCTTCCACAACCTCGGAAGAGGAATCTTGTTACTTTCCAGCAGTCTTCACTGTCAGGGTATGTTTCATTATATTCAAACTAAATTACTTTGGCTGGGGAACAATCATAACTCCTCTGCCACTCTAAAGAGCTCCACCCCACCATCATGTTTGTGACCTTCTGCAAGTGTCTGCGGAGTGACAGGGTCAAACTTCTTTGTTTCTGAGCGCTGCTACGTAAGGTTACAATAAATTTCAAGTTGTTTCCCCTCCTTTGTGTGTACTAGATAAAATTTTCCTTCTTCATTTACATTGCCCACCAGTAGAAAAAGCAATTAAAATCAAGACTCCAAGCTGGTGTTTTAACTGGGGAGATAACACTGTGAAAGTATGACAATTTTGCATGTAACTGAAGGACAATGTTTTAAGTGATGAAGGTAAACAAATCCTAAAGAGTTAACTTCTTAATGTTACCTGCAATTATAAAACAGATCTCTGCAATGAAAGAAGATGAACATATAAGTTTTGGACAAATACATGAAGATGTCCTCTGAGACATGAATACTGAACATGCAGGCATTTCCCTAACTTAAACATCAATGTCTGAAAAGAAACAATACCTGGATTGATCACAAAGCACTACCTCAACACCAATCTTGAGAAAAGTGTGAAGATGGACGGTAGGCTACAGAATCAGAGACGCAGATGTAAGCTCTCGCATGTCATCAAAGATCAGGAGCACGTTTATTGCCTCCTGTACCTCAGCCAGACACAAAGGCAGTGTCACGCAGGCTACCCACTTTATGGGACTGTCCTTAGGGAAAGTGCAGGTCCAGCCCATGGGCAAGATGTAGCTTAAACAGAATGTAAGAAAGTCCTTATTGGCTTTCTCCTTCAAGGTGGAAATTGAAGAGGAAATGATCAATTCTAGTGTAACGCCGAACGCTCGGAAATAAAAAATAATACTTTGAGTTTCAATATGAGTAATTCTCAATGACCTAACACTTTTGGAAATAAAAAATAATACTTTGAGTTTCTTTGAGCATTCAAAGTGAGTAATTCTCCATGACCTCAGACTTTCCTGATAAACTGACAGCAAATAAGGTTCTTGAAACTGTCAATATCATAGATTAAGAAACAATTTTTTAACTTTACTTAAACTTAAAGGTGCAGAATTCCATGGTGACTGACAGAAATATAAAAAACATATTGGAGAATGAACCAAAAGAAAACACTGAAAACAAAGTACATGGTCAAATAATAGAATAAAATCAAATAAATTATCATACATTCATACAATGGATAGTCTGTAGTCACTCATATCGTTACTGAAAACTAACCAAGGAGAGGAAAAAGGATAATAACTCAAAGTGAAAAGAAAGGTCATTAAATGCTATATTTTGGATGATCTCCATTTTGAGGAAAATTTGTACACAGATAAAAATATTGGGAGGGCACACGCAAAATTATTAACAGAAGTTACCTCTTTCAGTGAGAAATTAATGTCTTCATGAGTGTTTTCTTTTGAAAATGAAAAGAGGATGAGGGGACGCTGTTGTTTTCAAAAATAAGCCATCATTATATTCATGTCTTTTTATTCCATTTTTTTTAAAACACACAAAATGAAAACTTGAAAATATTCAGTGGTCAATAAGCACTTACATTAACAATTATTTTTACCTAGGTATAAACTCAATAGTTTGTTAAAATTTAATTTCCTTATACTTTTTCCAATTTACACGAGAGTAATTTATTGGTAAAAACAAGTAAATTTTTGTCCAATGTTAAAATCTTCCATATATTCTTCTTCAGACATCCTTGAGTCTAAAAAATGAACTTCATATGCTTGATTCCATACGTTTTAAAAAAGACCATGAGAATGAGGGCCCACAGTCCCAGAATGAAGCCCCCCGGAGGGTGCCAATCTTTCAGCTTTGGTTTCTGCAAAACAAGAAAATGGTCAATTTAACAAGAGGCAAATAATTCAGCAATGGATAAGCAAATACTGATGGGAAAGAGAAATTTCACTGGTTGCATTCTAAGGGGGTGTAAATTTAGCCAAATTAAATGGAATAACAATAATGATGAAGACTCAAACAGGGTGAATATCCCAGAGGGTAAACTGCTCCTATCGATGATCAGTATTAGCCCACATTCTTTTTCCTCAGTGGTTGCCTACCTTAGCCAACCATCTCTGCCCGCAAATGACTGTGTAGTCTAACAGTCCTTCTCACTTGGCATTCATATAATTCGTGAGCTGTTTCGTGTTTACGCGTCTCTATTACACTATCGCTCTTCCAGGGCCATCTTGTTCTGTTCCCAGCATGCGCCTGCCACAGCACCCACCATCTGTGGGACCCTCATCCATCACCCCGAAAAAGTCACTGAAGAACAAATGCTACTCAACTCTGGTCACGCACTTAGAAATTCAGCCGTCATTGGTTGGGAGCCAGTGTCTTTGGTCCATTTCTTCTCCCTTGACAGGGAATTCTCCGTACCCTCTTCTGCCTTCAAATCTTGCTCACTCAAATGATGCCAACACCTCCAGATTTTCCCAGCTGAAATACTCTTTTTTGGAATTTTCATGATATCTGTACTCCTTTAACGGTTGTCTCCATTGAACTTGCTAAGGTCAAAGTCCATCTGAGTCCAATTTTACACATCCTTCTCCAGTCCCACCCAGTAACGGCCATGGGTCTTGTGTGCTTCTTTGTCCAGCAAAGCCCAGTCCTCCCTGGTTAATCTGTCATTACGGCCCTGAGGCTGGAGTCTTGTGACCATGACTGCTTTACGAGTCTACTTACTAAATGACTAGCTGAGACTGTAATGGTTATGATATGGGAATCCAGTTTCATCAATTCACAATTTACCTGTCAAACTAAAAGGAGAGAACTTTTAATTCGGATCCTAATGTTAGTTTTAGGGGCTTTTCATCAAATGCATACGATGAACTGAACTGCCAATATTTTCCCAGCAGTTCCAAGCCATCTTCACTCCTCGGCCTACATCACCTTCTGCCATGCCTCCTAGAAGACTCCCCCAGATATCACTCAAAACTAGTAAGCTCACTTTTCCTCACGTTTCTTTCCAGTACAAAGCCTGCAGTCTTCTGGTCATACATGTGATGCAGATGATGACGAAAGTCCTTGCCCTCTAGTACCTTACAAAATGCTAGTTACAACAGTTCTCAAAGCATTCAAATACCAGAGCGCTTGGAAGTCACGGTGCTCTCTGTGCAAAACTGTGGCAAATCTTAAGTTAACACAAGGCTCAGCTACATGAGGTAATGTAAATATAATTATCATAACCATGTGCCAAAAAAAAGCACATGAACTAAACATGACTATTACTCATCTTTTTCTTCTCTATTCTCTACCAAACAATGGGTAAGCAAAGAGGATGAAAAAGACCAAAAATTATCCTCCACAGACTAGGAGATTACGACTGTACATTATTAGTAGAAGCAGTGCACCTTTACACAACAGCCTGCAGATGTTGTCGGGAGCTCAGTTTAAGACCACTGACCTCAGGGAGATGAGTTTCCAATTTTCCCTAACTAGGAGTCCAAATTACATGGGATTTGAAAACACACATGCACACACACACACACACACACACACACACACACACACACACTACTACAATAGTAAAATTAATTAACTACTGTCAAAATGCATTCAGGTAAACTCTTAACTGAGAACAGACTATAGACAATTTTTCTATAAACCAAATTAATGAGCTTCAGTGCTAAAAGAGTTCAGGAGGTATTTAAATCAAGTCATGTTTAAAGAAAAAGGGGGAACATCATTTAAGTTCTATCATGAGATTATAGAACTATTAATCAAGTAGTGAATAGCAAATTGTACTTCTGCACCTGCAGAAATTCTAGTTACTTTCCAATGAGATGGATTCCCTGAGGTTGTAATTTTACCGTTAGAACTTAAACTAGCAGCCGGAAATGTCTGGCAGAGATAAGACAAGAAAGAAAAAGCAGCACCTCTGGAAGAAACTACTGTTTCTCCAAAGAATCAACAGTTAGCCCTGGGATCTTGGAGAGCTGTGACGCCCCCTTCCTGGTCCTGAGCCTCCTCATCGGTCACGTGTCTCCCGTTCAGACCACTGACACCGAGGAGCGGACCAGAGAGAAAGCGAACCGCCAGACCTGTGCTTCCCAAGAGCAGACTCTGACAGTAATAATGGAGGACAAGAAATGGATATAATTATAAAAATGATGATAGAATAGTGCATTTATTCACATTTTAACAATATCGCACAAGCCAAAGAGGCAGTAGATCTTAGCATTTCAAAAACTATTTTCAGCTGCTACAGTTTTGTTACATATTCATTATATCCTTTTGATTCACAGAAGTGGGAAATGCATTAATTAAATGTACTCTGGGCTCAATTTAAGACGGCATCTGAAGAGAGGCCCCCATTGCAGCCTCTCCACACCTCTCGCAACAATCCATAAAAAAGCTCCGAGGAAGACAATAGCACACCCTGCCAAAATTAAGTTCCGCTCTGAAGAGAAACCTCAGATCGTTTATTTTACTATCTGCAAGTTTAGAAACGAAGTCTAAAACCAAGATCATAGCGGGTCCAGTTTTCTAATTGTTCCATACCATCCGAGTGACTGCTTTGCTCCGGGAGACAATAATTCTACCACTGAGAAAGAGACTAGCTTGGTCCTTTTTTCTGCCTGCTGTTTCGTAGACACAGTGCTTAAACAGTAGAAAGATAGGTTTAGGGTCGGTCGGAGTCCTGTAAGTCATTCCAGCCTCTCGGTGGCACCCTTCTTCACACTTGCATTTAAATATCATCTCAGTGAAGGACGCTACAGAGGCAGCGGGCACTGACGATGGGTCACGGCATCCTACGAGACACAGTGTCTACATGAAAAGCTCCACAGAGAGGGGGAAACACAGGGACAACTATAGAGGTAGTGCATGCTAAGAAATAGTGTTTTCTCATGTTTCACCCGTTTTTTAAAGTACCCTCAAACCAGGTGTAAGTGGGAAGGTAGCGTATGACCCTAGCTTAGATCAGCAAAGCCACATTTGATGGCTGCCTGCCAGTCACCGGAACAGCATGCCAGCCTAGCTGATGCAGGTTAGAGAGGACGTTCGTAACTAAGCAGACAGTAAGAAGCACCCACACACCCTACTGGCAAATACCAGGCGCATTCAAAGAAAAGCAAAACTCCAAGGTGAACTCTATGAGGAGAAACACCGGAACACAGGAAGAAGTAATATCCTGATAATGCAGAGAAGATGTGTATGAGTAAAATGTAATAAGCAACCAAAATATAATGCCCATCAACAGATGAACGGATAAAGAAAATGTGACTCTCTCCCTGTCTCTCTCTCTCTCTCTCTATGTATATAGATAGATAGATAGATAGATAGAGAGAGAGAGAGAGAGACAGAGTCAGTAAATACACACATATATGTATACATAAAGGAAATTTTGTCATTTGCAGAAAAGGACAGAACCGGAAAACACCATGTTCAGCAAAATAAGCCAGATTACAAAAGATAAGCATGGAATGTTCTCCCTAACATGTGCAATTTGAAAGATGACTGGAAGTAGAAGGGCAACTATTATTAGATAATAATAATAAAAGAAGGAAATAGGTTGTGTGTGTGTGTGCACGAGAGAGGGTATTGGGGGACTGGATATGGTCAAAATATACATATTAAAATCCAATATTTTAGAAAATTAATAGGGACTAAAAATGAAAACGATTCACTAATAAAATAAAAATAAAAAGTTTAAAAATATAGTCTGGTTCTTTTCGATTTAAAGTTCCCAGTTCGTGGTAATCAGATGTTGTCCCATGCTGAACAAACAGCCATCTTGCAAGATCTTTATGTGCTTGAAGTATGATAAATCTGCAAAGCAGTTAATACAATCCTGGATAATTAAAGATGATTTGTCTTTAATCATGATTTTTAGTTTTCAAAGAAAGCTGATTATAGTTTTTTTTTTTTAACCTATGATTTTAGTTTTTCTGTGACAAAAAAGTACCTACTAGTAACATCATTAGTCAACACTACTCTAAAATTTCTGGTCATTCCAGGCATAACTCTTGGGAAGAAAAAGTACATTTTTATCATTTGTCTATGTTATAATTTGATATCAACAAACTATAAATTTTATAAAATCAACTTTAATGATTACTGAGAATAAAACCTCAGATTTGACGCAAATACTTTAAAAATAATATCCTTCAATTATGCCAGCAAACGTGTCTGAAAATGAAAAAACAAATCATTCACAACATCAATAAAAACGTAAAACAACTAGGAATCTCTATAGCACAAAATGTCAGGCACACAATCTATTTATGTAAGAAGCAAGCAGTGAAGAATAACACAAATGCTAAGGTTAAAAAATAATGTGATTTTGATGCAAGAACAAAAGATGAAAAAGTGGAATGGAATGGAATGGAAAGCAAGCATACAGCCCAGTGGGTATACATGATTTATGTATGTTAAAAGAGCTATCACAAATCAATGGGCAGAAGGACATTTTGTTTTATTTCCTACTCAATACTATAAAAACCAAATATATGTTATGCAATTTATAATTAAATGTGAGTACAGATGAAAGGGATAAAATGTAGGTGAATATAAACAGTAAGATTAATAAACCTAAACTCAAATAAAAATAAGAAAGGAAAAGTAGGGAGATTTTTTAAGATAAGTTCTGAAAGACCTGTATTTCACAAAAGGTATAAATCAAATTAAAAGGCAAATAAATGGGAAAATGTAACAGAAAAGGAGATAAATTCAATACATAAAGATTTTCCAATATCAACAAGACATAAAGTTTTATCAATAAATGACACAGGAAAATAAAATTTTCACAAAAGAATAATTATACATGGCTAATTCACATTTTAAAGTTTTAATATTCTTAATCATAACTATATTAAATAT